TTTTCAATGGAATATTATATTAATCGGTGGCATAACATACAGGGTGTTCCATTCTAAAATTAAGAAAATCGTGACCATTTTGACACACCCTATATACAACATAGCAAATGAATAAAATTGAAATTATTGTTCGACGATGTGAAAACAGTCAAATATGTATAACTACCTGCAGGGTGTTTTGCTTTAAAAATGTATAGGTTTGGTCAGACAATCGTTTATGGATTACCCTGTATTTTTATAAATAATTGTTAAATATGGTCATACAACTTTTATATTAATTTTTTTCTTATTTTCTATTATAAAACTGCTATCGATCAATTACGCACTAATGGGACACCCTATATATGTGTTATTGACTAACTTATTGGTATCGTTGGATATGTTAATTTATAAGGAATTTTATGATTAAATAATATACAGGGTGTGGCATTTGAAAAAAATTAAATAAATTTAACTTGGAATTAGCCATATTTAAGACTTGTTTTTCAAAACACACTGTATAAAATAATCCAGTTCTATTATCACTATTTGTTAGCTTAGTATCTTATTACTATATTTTAAAAAAAAATTGAAATTTTTTTAAACCTACCTAAATAATGATAATTTAATTTGGGGTCTGAATCATTCTCTAATTTCATAAAAAAATTAATTTATTGGCAACCCTGCAATATTTGTTAATAAAATTCTAGGGTTAAATACAGTATTACTAAAGCATTCTAAAACTGAAGTAAAATACAGGGTTTTCTACTTAAAAAATATTCCGTTTTATTTGTCAGACAAAAACGCAAAACCCTATATATCTAAAAATATCTTTAAAATACCTATTTTTGAAATTCATATAACTTTTATTTAGAAATTGTTTACGTGTCTACAACACAAATTAAAATATTGAACAATGTAATAATTTAATCCCGCGCCGCGTTTATATATTTTATTCACGCTTCTATTAGATATTGTAGTTTACTTGAGTATTTACTTAAACTACTTTGCTCTTAAAACGTAAAAACAGACTTAAATTTTTAGAAAAACTACTTCGGCTCAGCAGACCCGACCACAACATTTGCTTCGGCAGACAACGTGTTTTAAATGCTTTATTATTAATTTGTTGTTTAATTTGTATTTAGTTATTAATATTTCAAAAATGCTTATTTTTCTTATTGATTAATCTAAAATAATAATTGAAAATAGTACTGTAATTCTAAATTGATAAAAAAAAGTACAAATATGAAAACATAAATTACGACTCTACAAATGAAGTAAAATTTTATGATTAATTTCTTTTTTCTTACAAAAACATTAGCTCAGCAATATGTCATAAGTTGCATACACACAGTATGTCTATGTAAGTTGATAGCAAATAGAAAACTTTTTTATTAGGTATTCATTTTACGAAAAAAAGTAAAACCTTCATAAAAATGTATGCATGGTCTAACAGAAAATGCAACCACCCGATATCAAATTTTATCAGTCGGTTTTACAAGGTTTGTCAAAAAATATAATTTTGCTCAATATAAAATACCTTTATTTTCGACAAACACTGTATACGACTGATAAAATTTGTTATCAAATGATTGAATTTTAGGTTTTAGACCATGCATAACTTTTTATGTAAAGTAACATTTTTTCTAAAATTAATAGACCATGCAATTGTTTATGAAAAATAAGTTTTTTTCTTAAAATTCTTAAAAACGTTTTCCGTATGCCGATGCCGCTAACTTACATATAAATGAGATAAAATTAAATTAAATTAAATTAAAATGACATTGTTAATGTAAAAATATCATTTTAAACTCCGTTTAACACAACAGTGGAATCGGTCCTAAGTAAATATACCGATGTGTCGAATTAAATCCCAAACTTTTATTTTTATACCTGTTACATCGAAAATATTTGTCAAGGTCAAGAACTCGTTTAATTATTATCCCGTAGTAGCTAGGCGTGATGAATTTGTTATTTTATAATAGTTACCGTTTAAAATTAATAAAATTATTACGCCATTTGTTGAACAAAAGAACTATTAAATATGGAATATTGCTCCATCTGCTGAACAAAAGGATTCTTAATTTATGACACATAAATGACATCTATCAAAATTAGTTCATGTTACGAATATTGGGGGTGGTACAGTGGTCTTAAGCTCCATAAATCAATTCATATTTAAATCTAAACGGCACAGTAAAGTTGGAACAACTAAACAATATAATGAACTTTTAAAATGAAATTCAATTTATATTTCTTGGCTTTGGCACAAAACCCTGTGTAGTAAAACTTTTAATCTGAATCAGAATCTTGATATTATTATTTGTGAACTTAGAAACGTGGTCCACTAGTCAAAATATTTGGTATAATTTTATATAAATACTTTACTTGGACATGTACATGACAATTCAAAATAATTAATTTGTATTCTACAAATGTCACTTTATTTATAATTTTTTACCAAATCACTACGATAATTATGTATTCACTAGTTTATAAACTGACACTTTCTTAAATTAAATAATTAAAGTAACATCACCTGTACGATTAAGAACTTCATGTTGCAGTGAAATATCTAACTACAGTGTTTTTCTTAAGAATATATCCTGTTTTATAGATTACCCTCCGAGGAAGTCGGATTTCACATTAAAAACTCTATAAGCCATATGTCGTATGAAGATATAACATAGGGGAGAGTTGATCATCATATCTCAATTGTTTTATAATGATTTCCTCTTTGAATTTAAATTAAATTATTTAATATTTACTGAAGAGGATGAACAAAAGGAAAAAAATTCTAGCAAAATTTGTTAGTGGAAAGGTAGGTTCAAAAAAACGTAATTATCTTTGGGTTATTTTTGATCTTTAAAGCATATTGTATCTCTACTATTTAGCGCTTTGTTGATTTCAGTGAATTTAAGTAGGTCCATCCGGATGCCTTTAGTGCAATTATGAAGTAAACTAACATTCAAAATCGACGAAAAGTGTTTTCAGTAAGAGTATGGGTAGCAAAGAAAGAGCTATTAAATCGATATGAGTGTTTTTGTACTTGTTAATACTTGCTAATAAGACAACCTGTTAGACAGGCGACGGCCCGGTTGACCCAATTAATAATTGCCACCTTCGCTTTTTAGTTCCACCTTGTTTTATAACTTCGTATTACAAGCGACCTATGATTTTGTTTACAAGGAACAGATAACATCATTTTTAGTACGGATTAATACAGGTTTTAACTTTATTGTACATCTTTTGGTGTTGCTTGCCTTCTGCTTTTCCTGGCATCACCAATACCTCCATTATCACTTTCTCTCTCCTTTATTGTATGTGCCACCCCATCAACTTGGTGGTTATTGCTTCCAATAGTTTTTTTGAATAAGTTTTTCCTGCTACTGAGATCCTTGCCGACCCACGATTGGACTGTCTGCAAGTGGAGTTATCTTTGTGTCTTGTACAATTGCGCAGTATTGTCCAAGTTTTAAATAGTCATTCTTTTGTTTTATTTATACCACTTTCCCCTATCAGTTTTCATTTCAAATGGACCATCAGACTCACTAACCGCCATATCCTTTTAGGTATTTTGTTGTATAAACTTGTAGTTTCACACAAATAAATAGAAATTGTGTGTAATTAAAAATTTACATTACAGAGTGATTTATAATATCAGGTACCCAATTTAAATTTTAACCTAGACAAAGTAAATAGCACAGTAGATATGAAAATCTGATGTGTCCAACACATGACTTTCTTATTTAGTTATTACAGGTTTTTTCCGGTTGTTTTGTACAACATATTGCAGTACCTCTGTAAATGTTAAGAGTGTTTAGGGGATAAACTATATAGTTTTAATTAAGCGTCATTTGACACTAAAATATGTGGTATCTAAGGTATGTGCATTTTTCATTTGACTTAAATCCAAAATAGCATTATATCAGTAAACAAAGATGCACATTATGCAGCTTCACATAATAAAACTTTTGTGTCCGAAACTGCTTGAATGAAAACGAATTACTACGAAGGGCCTTTAAATTGGTATGGCTATATACAGTGTGGAAACCACTTATGGAATAAAATTCTTTATGTCATTATTTTAGAAAATTGTAACAAATGCCGAGACACGTCAACTTTTGAATTGAGTTGTGCGTTATGTAATCATAAATTTAAATGTACAGGGTGATTCACGCAAGTATGCCATAGTCGGTGTTGTTTTTTTTTAATGAAATACCCTGTATATTTGCATATTTTTGAAATCCTCTTAATGAACCGATTCCAACAAACTGAATAATGTATGTATGCAAATATACAGGGTGTTTCATTAAAAAAAAACAACACCGACTATGGCATACTTGCGTGAATCACCCTGTACATTTAAATTTATGTTTACATAACGCACAACTCAATTCAAAAGTTGACATGTCTCGGCATTTTTTATGATTTTCTAAAATAATGACATAAAGAATTTTATTCCATAAGTGGTTTCCACACTGTATATCTTTCTTTATTTTATTGTTCTTTGTCAACTTCCGCATGGGTTTTGGATAATATGTAGTTTTATTAAAAAATAATATATTTGGTTTTGGAAAATCGCTAAAATATGTCCAGGCATCAAAAGTGGTGATAAAACTAAAACTTAAGAGGGTCTTCAGAGTTTCAGCATGGCTTTATAGCTAATTGTTCCACAGTTGCCAATATAGTTATTATAACTATTTTATTACTGATATTCTTGATACTATTTATGCAGACTTTATAAGAAATTGGATTAACAAACGGTGACTGCATAGCGCAATCTGCAGGAACCGCACATTGCGATCCGTCTATTTCCGCCCTAGAAAATGTTTTTGTTGTATCTTTAGGTAAAAAAAAGAGACAACGTAAATAACAGATTAAACTAGAAGAGAAATACATGTAATATGATACTATCACTCAGCTTTTTTATTAAACGAAAATTGTCATGCTTTTAAGGTTCCCAAGAGAAATAATTAAAGGTATTTAAAAAGGGAAATATTTTATTACCATATAGGTACGTTAGTAAAAAATTGTATATAAAAAAACTTAACTTTAAATAACTTGGTCTAAGACTAGATCACGAAATTATAAAACCAATACAAATCTCTCTTCATGGAGTACATTTTAATTTTGATAATTATTATTGAGAAGCTTCTTCTGCAGCTTCTTGTGCTGGAGGATTAGCGGCCAAGAAATCCAGCGACCTCTGAATTGCTGGAGGAATTGGTGGCGGGGTTGGTAAGTGATCACCTTGAGGTTGGAAGCCGTTTTCGTTGGCGATATAAGTTAAAAGAACAGGATTGCCATCGTTGTCTGTATATTCTGACTGTCCGGAAACCTCTAGAATACCTTCACCTTCCGTTGGACCTGGTTTGACAACTCCATGTTGTTCTGCTTTGATGCCATTGGCGGTTTCCAAACTAGAAGAAAAACATTAAATTATAAACATATTTATTTAAAAAAATGAAAATGTGAATAGATGCAAAAACCATAATTTGTTTCTAAAATATATGAAGTTAAAAATCAACAATACCCCAGGAGCTGAAAAATAATCACATGCAGGAATAACGGAGTGGTGATTAGAAGACAAGAAGAAAGAATATTTAAAAAAAGATTGCTTCAACATGTACACTAAGGTAATAAATACTGAATTATCTAACAGATTACATTTTATAATATCTAAAATTTTAGATAGAGACATTAGAGACCAGTTTAGTCAAATTATTAAAAAAAAAAATTAGACAACGGAAAAAATTTAAATCACTACCTTAAGTAGTTATTTTATTTTGTATATACAGGATCCCCACTTTTTCATAGGAATTTCCTAAGCGGTAAAAGATAGCAACTGACTATTTAACACTATTTATTTCATTACAGTAAATTTTAGATTTCAGAAATCCCAACAAAAAATAGTCACTGATTTCAATCCATTTTCTTCAAAAAAATACATTTAAAAAGTCACTTAATATTGTTTCGGACTTCTAGAGACATTTCATCCAGAACTTCTGTCAATAAATTGATGTAGGACATGCCACTTAAATAGCCCATGACCACGACCAATTGCCTTGTTTTCAATAATCGCACACCACACATTAAAGCTATCAACTTTTCTATTATTTTGCTAAAAATAGATATTATGGAAATTGGACGAAAGTTATCCAGTTGTGAAGTTTTTCCTTTTTCGGACAACTGAAGAGGTCTGGAAAAATTTCGATATTAAAAATTTAATTAATCAGAGTAGTAAGGAGTGTTCCGATAATATGTGCCGTTTCTTTAATGATAAAGCTATTAAGTTCATTTGCATCCAGACAACTGGAGTTTTTTAGATGAGAAATTGTATTTATAACTTTGTTATATTTGATGTTGGTAACAAAAAGAAAGAACTGCAAGGAGCTGAAAAATTTCTGAAAGTAGGTAAGTCAGTTAATAAAACTGCTATTAATGATTTTATAATATTCTCTGCCACATTAGAAAAAATAGCAGACAATACCCCCCCAAGTTAATACTTGTTAGATTTTCTTCTCTCTGCCAATGCTCAGAAACACAGACAACATCAAATTGATATTCCGATAAAAGTAAATTAAATATTTCAATTTTATTGGATAAACACTGAAAATTACCGAAATTTTGATCTGGATTGCTGGGTTATATGTGGATTACTTAGCATAAAGCATAAAAATGTAATCCTACGCTCGGAATCTCCTGGATAAAGTTTTTGAACAGTTCTAAATTTGTAATCATAACATTTCTGTGTCTTAAGATTTTTCTAAACAGCTGTTTGACTTATTCCATACTCTTTCGCAATAAAATTTGTAGAAAATTAAGGATTGATGTTTGTTAATGCCAATATGTTGATCTCATTGATTGTATTACTCATACAATATTTCTCTCGCTTTTTTGAAACACATCCAACTTCCGTAAAATTTCTGGAAATTAGGTAAGAGGTTTTTCTTTATGGAATATTTCTTTTAGGATATGTCCCAGCATATTGTCGAACTGCATTGTCACTATCATTATAATGCACCATTTAATAATTTGGATTAATTTCTATTTAAAAATCCAATGATCAAAAATAAAAATGTATTAAAGTGATATTAGTAATATTAGGCTGTAGCCATGACAATTTATAATAATTTTTTTTTATTATCGTAGTCTACCACATTTTGGTTTTTAAGTTTATTGTTTTTCTATTATTTTACATAATAATGTAAACGTGTAATTCATAGCTATAAAGGGAATCTTTACCTTTATCTTATGGTGTTAAAATCAAATATGGTACCCATAAGAAAAACAAAAGTTGTACATTGTATTTCTGAAAAGAAACAAGATACACGGTTAAACCGTAGTGCAAATAATGAAGAACCTCTTCTACTAAAAAAAGATATTGCCAATTTTCCCTAAAACTCTTAGTTTTTCACTTATAATAATTTGTAGAAAATGAAAACTTTCAATTTTTATTCAATATTTCGACTCTCCCTGTAGATATCTTGGGTTTTTTGGCACCACCTTAAAGAGCACAAAAATGCGCAACTTTTTTCTAATTTAACCATTTTGCTCTCTTTTACTGTTTGGAAAATAGCAATACTGTCTCTATGAAAAAGTGGGAAGGAACTCTGTATATTGGACAACGAAATGAAAATAAGTTACATTTTAAGGAGAAGAAGAAGAAGACGTAGTACTTCGAAACAATTGTAATGAGACATTTTTAATTTTAATTTTTTATATAAAAGTGTGTGAAAATCTACCAAGTTTGGCTTGGCACCATTTTAAAAGTCACATTTAAAAATGTATAATCAATGAATTGGTATTAAAATGATTTAAATTTTAAATAGCGGACCACACTATATTATTAAGAGAGGAAGTTTTACGTAATGGGAGATTTATTTTGAAATTTATTTCAAATTGAATCATCGACCTGAAAACCAGTGCCTTAAACTGCAATGATATGAAAATCTAAGTTGCTTTTATATTGCTACCTTTTGTCTTATTATAAGTTTAAGTTTTGAAAATCAATTAGAATTATTCAATATATGTTTATTAATTCCTTTTATGTTGTTGTAATTTCATATTCTTAATATTCATTTTTTATTTTATGAAGAAGTAAATGTATTAATTACTTTTTTATTTGTTGAAAATTTAAAAAATATGTATTTAGAAGTTTGATTTATACCTCTTGTAAGGGTCTCGTGAAAAATAGAATTTATTTTTGTTTAGGGAGCGAATATTTGGCAGTTCAAAATAGCGGAGTAGTTATTTATCTATCTATCCACCCTTAAGCCTAAGAGGTCTGCTTGTTGGAACGAATTGGGAAGCATCAATGGCCCACCTCCTACAACTAAGCTTCTGATCAATTTCAACTTTTTTAGAAGTCGAATCGTTTAGTCAAATTTGGAGTATTAATGAACTGGTACCACGGAATATAAACCAGGTTTAGTTGTAACTAATTATCGCTATTACAGGTTTTAGAACCACATGTAATGCGATTTCCACTATACAGTGAGGACGTATAAGTTGGAATAAATTAAATATTTTTCGGTCTAACAGTCTTTTAACAAAATGCATTCAAAGGTCTATTTCTTTTTTGACATGTATTAGTTTGGTTTATCACAAATGAGTCAAACTTTGTAAAAAATTAAATCGATATTGCAATGTAATGCTGGTGCACATCTATAGACAGGCCTTGTTATTGTTTCCCAGCGCCACTTTAGAAACAGCACTGTTAATGAGAACTTAAGAGTGAATGGTCGGAGTGGGGAATGATACCTATGCATCAGAAATATTTTTAAATAAACAAATTGGTAGTGGTTACGTCACAAGTTCCATAAATGTATTTGATAACTCTATCAGTACTTACCCAGTTAACGAAGTTAAAGTAAAAATTGCAATAAAAAGTCAAATGATAAAATGAGCGCCGTTGGCTTTGAGATATATCCCCAAAAAATGGAGAGAGGTAAAAGTAGAATTTACACACAAACCTGGAAATATGGGTTAAACCGTCCCAAAAACATACCGACCAATTAGCCTGAGATCGTTTTCTATGAAGGCTATGCGAAGGGTACATAAGAGATGTGGTGATTACAATACCACTACACCTAAATCAACATACATACAAGAGATCTCTGGACAATAAAATGTCTGTCTGGGTGCTTTTGATAAGATGACTTTTCCCAAAATAATACACCCACTATCCAACAGGAATGTTCCACAGATGTGTGTGAATACATAACACGCTCTCAAAGCGTGCAGTAAACAAATATAAGTGCAGAAGATATGAATATAAGAGGCTTGATTGCAAGGGGATATACATAGGAACGGGATGCTATGAGTGTGAAACATGGTTCTCAACATCCTTATCAGTCACCTTAATAATGACAGTCACTATACAAATAGCGTATACAGAAGATCTGATTATTCTGCAAACAGGAAATTTTGAGAACATACTTTGCGAAAGAATGCAAGAAGTAGCTCTCAAAATTATAGAACAGTAGTGAAAGGCCCATTGACTGTCTATCAATCTCAAACAGACAGAAATGGTCTTTTTTAGGAATAGGATGAAATAAGATTAAAACCTCCAAAACGTTGTGACAGACATAACGTACCTAGGTCTCACCACTGACAGTAAGTTAACGTGGAACACACATTTAGAAAACAGTAAAAAAAAGCATAGATCTCTTATAAACAATGCCGTCGAACCGTGGAGCGCACATGTGATCTCTCCCCCAGTGTCTTCGCATGAACTTACACCTATGCTAACATACGGTGCAGTTGTCTGGGTATCGAAACCCTAGAAATCGACAGGTTTCCGCAAACTAAGACAAATTCAAAGAAAATCATGTCTCAACATCACAGGAACCATGAAAACCAAACCGACATGATCCATGGAAGTTATTCTTTTTCTCACTTCTCTTAATATTTACATCAAGGAGGTTACGCTGATGACAATGACACGCCTTCACATGCTTGGAATAGAACCTAATGTAGGGTATGGTGAAGCGAGACGTCTCTTTAGGCAGGAGGCGCTCTATACGCTCCCAATGCTTTAAGCGAATATGGACTCCAAACCATCGAGATATATCTTCCATATTTCATATACAGTTATAACAGAACAAATAGAAGAGCCAGAAGTGACAGGTACGATTCATATCTACACCGACGTATGCTAAAGTATTAACATGACGAAGCTGATCGAAAATAAAAGAGTCAAGTATGCGCTGCATTCCACACAAAAACATTGACAAGTTGAATCTGTTTACAATCGCGTTGCCATTGACTTATTTATCTTTATTATTTATTATCATTAATATATTTCGTGATCGTGTTTTTTACAAGTGGAATGTTTTTGCTGATTGAATATGGATCTGTAACCTGCAGGTATGTATAAAATAATATGTTAGTTATATAGAAACTGTATTTATTAGTATTATTGTTTTTTCAATTGTGTTAGCTAATTATGTCGACAAAGAATGTTTTTTCGTTTGAACACATGTGTTGTGTTTTTTTGAGTATTCTGAATCACGATCAATAAAGATATTCTAAATAATCTGCTCATTTCTTTAGACTGTCTAAATACCAATCTTAGAAAATTTTCACTAACGATATGAAAGAAGTTTCCTATAAGTGTTAAACATTTACTTAAATTTCCCAATCAACCAGCACAATTAGATATTTCAGATTGCCTTAAAACTTCTAGTTCAGAGTCGGAGATACCTTTATCAGATTTTAAAGAATTTCACAAAGGGAAAATCAGTCAAATCAAAACAGTATTTAAACCATAGAGCATTTTCTAATTAATATCGCTTTTCAGTCGTCATTGTAATTACTCTTTTTGTGGTAGTATTGAAGTTGTAAGCATTAAAAAAAATACTAGATTTAGTTATTTGTTGTTACTATTTCTATTATACATGTCATTAGAGATGTTATCAGCCTATTCTTTAAATTAAATAAACCTACTTTTCTTACTTATACTCAAGTGTCATAATTTCTGTCAATACCTATAACTTCTTCAAAAATACAACTAAAACTCTTTTTGATCAAAAATAAGTGGGAAATACGCCACTGTGCGACGGTTCTAAAACAAAACCAGGATGTGGAGTATAATGCAGATCCTTAAACCAGAATGTCACGAAGCTTTGGTCGAAGTATCCATCAATAATGTAGTTAACTTAAGATGGATCACGTCATATCGAAAGGTAACCATAACAACAGTAGCTAAAGACCTATCAGTAGTTACAAATGGTCTTTATACTAGCCCGGTTGTTACATTTGTTGACAAGCGATGGTCCTTTAGATGGTTGATTGTTTTATTTGGTGACGAGCGGTGGTCCTTTAGACAGTTGGTTGTTACAAATTGGTGGTCCTAGCGTCACAATTTCTTTAAATCTATTTGATAATCATATCATTCTTTACACAGTTAAAGAGATTGAATTCATAAAATTAAAAATTTAATAGTTCACTCCTTTCAATAAAATTTTTGATTTTTAGTCTTGTCTTCAAAAATCTGATATAACATTGGTCTTTAATTGATAAATCAATGACTACATTAATATTATTACTAAGTATTGCATATATTTTTGTAATCGTCTATTATTTGGGAATTTAGAAATAATATATTGTTCCGTTAAAAAAAATCGATGACACAAAAGTAGTGAGAACACATAAGTATATTCGAATTGAAGCGAATAATCCGCAGTTGAAAGTAAAAATTATTCTATATTAACATTTTGTTAAAATATTGTTAGACAGAAAAATATCCAATTTATTCTAACCTATGCAAGAATATGTTAGGCCTCACGTCGCCAGAATTGTAAGAAATCTAAAGAAAGTCGGTAGATTACTACCGTGATATGGCCAGCTCGGAGCTCTGATATAAATTGAATATCTGGTCACTTTTGGAAAAAAATACAAGAGGAATGTAACTTGAAGACATAAGGCTGAGACAGATTCAGATTCTAATTTGAAAAGTACTGGATCAAAATGGCATAAAGTCTCTTCTTTTAAATATAAGCCGTCGATGCCAATTACATTTTTGTTTAAATTATTTCTTTGAGTTTTATTTCGTATTTTTCGTTTGTTAAATTTGGATATTAATTTTCAATAAAATCATGTTATATCCTAAAATGTGATTTTAGTTTTAATAAGATTAATTAACTGTTAAACTCTACAGGGTATAATAAATGTTACAAATATGCAAGTTACTTTATTGTTATACCCAGCTCTTTTTTCCTAATGTTTTTTGTTTTTTAATACTTGTTTTACTGGTATATTATGGAAACTAAATAATTTTTGTTAGTTATTGAGATTTTTTTGTACTTACCTCCATTGGTATGAACCATCTGCATTTACTCCTTCATTTTCATATTTAAGAATAGCGATTGGTTCTTGGGGCGCAGCTTCAGCAGGAAAACCGTGGCATACTTTTAGAAGAGCAATTGCAATGATTAACTTTAAAAACAAATAAAAAAATTAATTATAAAAAGAATTAATGAGAGAACATAACAGATATTTCAAAAAAGCAAGTCGAGATTACTAGTGAAAATTCAGATGAATATTAAAAAAAGTTTATAAACATATGAATAAAATTGTAATTCTTCTATATTTCTTTTATAAATAAATGTTGATTGGATAAACTTTATATTTGATGCTAGGTTTAAAGTTATAAAAATAATAAAAATATTTTCTATTTTATTTTCTTATTATTTATATTTCTTTTTTTACTTAGTAGTTTATAACTCGCTGTAATGTCAGTCATTTTACATTTTTTATGGAACTCTGTAAAATAGTTTTGACCTGTAAATAAATAAAACTAGAAGCTAAGGTACTGTGACAGGCTTCTGATTCACCTACAGTGAATCAGGAGTTTATGTGGTGCTAAGATGGTGATTTCAGAATAGGAGTTGCTCAGGCACCAGTTTTGGTAACACAGTTTGCTCTGCGACCCTGTAGTACACCAGAGTGTACTCAAAATAAAATCAGTGGAGTTAGAAATATTTCCAGGCGGTCACTGCTAACGAGGTAGCCACTAAACTTAGAAAAACGGGAATAGCTCACCACAATATTATTGACACGGTCACTAATAGTTAACTTTCCAGAGAAGTCGCTGGTCGGGAACAGAAGAGGCAGAGAGCCTACGTTGGCCGGGAATTAAAAGAGGACAAAATCTTACTTGTCATCTAATTTATGCTTTTTCAAAAGGCAAGCTCGAAGCCCGGCAATTCGGAGTGGGAGATATCACCACTACATCCGAATGTTTACTATTTCAAAATAGAAAAAAATGCCGTACTAGCACCTAGATAAATACAAGTAGATAATTGATATGAAATTGAATTTATAAATGCCCATTCGGATTTCGACAAATATGAAAATATTTTAACCTACAAGGGTACTCGCAATTGTTTACCAACGGGAATTCCTGGGAAATATAAAATCTTCTACATGATCTCAAGTGGGAATTAATTTAAATATACATTTTTAAAATTAATTAAAAATAAAATTTAGTGACTTCGTTACAGTACATAGCATGATATCTAAAAGTAGAGACATTATATGGATAAGTTCCAGCAGACGGTCCTTAATTTTCGTTCACGCATTTTAAAAATACCTTTATTGGACCTTTATTAATGACAATGACGCTAATCACAATAAAAATAACCAATTTTACTGAATCACCAAAAAATTGTGCCTACTAGTTTTCAGTTTTCCAGACCAATGGATTATAAACAGATATCCAAACTGGCGAAAAACAATACAATTAAACTTCTTTCTATGAGAACACATCAAATCTAGAATATTTGCAATAGAAAATTATTGAAAGGTATATATCTGTTTAAATGTAATGATTCTAGTGTCATAATAATAAGTTACTACTTGCAAGAAAGTAAGAGAAAGAGATGAAGAGAAAGAGAGAAAAGATATAGAAAAAAATTGTTTACTACGAATTATATTTTTGAGTACTAATTTAACTCGGATTACAGATACTGATCATGACAGAAATGTCAGAAGATGATTTGAAAGTTAATTTTCTACTAATATGCAGATGATTGAACATTAATTTGATCAATATATTTTAAATTTAAATGTTTTTTTTTTTTTTTTTTTCATTAATAAAACATCTGTTGTAAGAAAAATGTATTACGTTATATCTCCGTATCTGTAGATGACACTTTCAATATTTTAAACGATTTTACATAGGTATTTCATAAAATTTCCACATAATTTTATATGCGATTGATTTTGTATATCATCATCTTACACTATTGAAGATAATTACTAATGAACACTTGGATGATACCTTTTTTTTATTTACATCCTTGATAATATCATTCACTTAAAATTTTCTTAAAAATTAGCACCACGATATCACAAACACTTAAACACTATTAAATACATAATTTGAAAAACTACAAAATATATTACTTTTTTCACCTACCAGTTTCATAATTAACGATTTACAACGACACAAGTTCTTGTTAAAAGTACTAAAAACTTATACTGACTCTTTATTCCATACTTACCATTATTTATATAAAAGAGATGGGTCCACACCCCACTAGCATAATACATTGGCCAAAAAGTTGCTCTTATTTGTTCAATGTCGAAAGCAATTTTATTGTGTAATAACGAAGACGAAGACATTGTAGTTGATGTCACTTTCGTTTAATTTTCGTTTACACAGTAATTAGTGTATGTTTGCATAAAAATAGACAAGGTAAATTCAAGATTTTCGATTTTTTTATTGACAGTTCATACAATTTGTGTTTGCTAAAGGTATTAACGATTTAATTGATTTACAATGGCCTAAATTTAATTTTAAATATAAATTTTTTGGATTGCAAACCAACCGTTTTTATTCAGCTACACCTATAGTTGATGCATCCTTAATTTAGATATTTTTTTTTTATATTTTAATGATAGCTGTATAGTTCAGAGCCATTGTTCTAAAAAGGTATGAAAAAACCGACTAAGTACGAGTCGGACTGTTACCCTGCACCATGCGACTGTTATAGAAAACGTACAAATACAAACAAATTTGCAAATGTCACCCAAAGTACGAGGAAATCAGAAGATAGAATAGTTCAGAAATGTCTGAAAATGTCATTCCTTGTCAAGAAAAATCTGGACAGTTCAAGAATGTTCGAGAAGGGTCAAGCAAGCTATATAAGTCGATGATCCTGACGTCAATTTTCAGTTTTATGATACACGTTATACGTTAATGTTATCAGTTGCATAGTTATTGTAAAAGTTGAGATACCAGAAACCTGCATAACAATACTATTACGAATTACCCTGTATTTGTTTATTTGATATTACCCTGTATTTTTTTAAGTTTACTTGATTTGTGAGTTTGTCAGATTGATTGATTGATTTTGATGTAAAGAAAGTATGAAAAAAGATTTTAATTGGAAGTTTTCTTTGAATTTTATACCGAAATCCATCGGTACGCGACAACTCGGCGATGCAAAGCCGGCGACGGTCAACTCGGCGATGCCAAGTCGGCGATGGCCAACTCGACGATGGTAAACTCGGCGACGATCAACTCGGCGAAAAGGAATACAATAATATAATATGCAATTATTTATTATAATACAATTATTTATTATAATACAATATAATATACAATCTATAAAAAAAATTGATTAGAGAACTTGATTAATAAAATAAAAATATATAAGAGATTTTAAAAGTGGCAATAAAATCAATTAAGGGTTTTAACTACAATTAGGGTTTCTAATACATATTATTAGAAAGCAAATTAAAATGTTAAGGGAAAATTTAGAGCTTAAGATTTTTTAATGCAAAATAAAAATAAGATATAATATATTAAAATATTAGGTTATGAAATAAAAAAATTTAAGTAACATATTATATGCTGAAACGGAATTAAAAAATAAAAACTGAAATAAAAAAAGGTTGATTGTAGAATATTGTTATTTATTATAATACACATTACAATTATTTATAATACATATATTTATTATAATACAATATAATATAAAAAAAACTAATTCATGTTGTAATTATGTGATATCCCTCTGAGATACTCGATCAAATTTTGCCTGTTATAATTGGCCACTTTATTTAAAATCCTCTCGTCGGCTTCCTCATAACGTTTCCTTTTTGATGCGCCATTGCGCCCGGCAATTGCTCGTTCATAGTCTGCATCGTACGAAGACTGTACCTTTTTTAAATTATCTATGAATGTCCATAACGAAGGATGAGCAATGCCAGAACCAAAAGCCAGTTGCAACTTGCGATGAGATGCTTCTGCAAAATTATTTGTCCTATCTCGTCCATTCAATGTTCGAAAATAAACGGACCAAACTGCTGATGGAAAAGTTGCTGGCACTCTGGTTCCATTATTCCTAAGTCGACCGATATAATTGCTGGTAAACCATTCTAAAATTGGTTCTAATATTTCTGGCAACTCATTTTCCAATTCGGCAATGGCCTCAATCACATCCTCTTCTGGGACAAATGCCCATGATGTTACCATTTTTGCTTGTAGTGCAAATTCGGGATCAGTATTGTACATTCCTAGGAGATTGCAAGAAGATAAATGCTTCCGAAGATTTTTGACCAAGTGGAATAAGCATCCTCTAATTTCGGCTTCTGGGAAAACTTGTCTTACGGCCTGGTGAATTGCCAACTCAAAGTCGACACTGATGCTTTCCGGATTTAATTGCGGCCAAAGAACTTTTATAATGTTAAACACATTGAGATATGTTTCTGCACTTTTATTGGGCAGCAAGCAATATAGTACAGGAAAAACTGGACCCTTCTCTTCATGCGTATCTTTTCTTGCCAGAACAACAAATATTTGCGCAAAAAGTGGAGGAGACAATAAGAATGTGCCGTCAACAAATAATTATTTCATGCTTGCACTCCATGTTGCATGGTATTCTCTACCAAATATTAGAATTCGATGTGGATCCACTTGATCTCTTCCGGAATCTGCCAGCAAAAAATTCTCAAATTGAGTAGGGCTGTAATAATATTGCGAGTACACTTCTGGGATGATAATTTCACTAAGAGTTTCTGGATTGGCGGGTGCTTTGCACATGGTTACTTTTACTTTTTGAATGTTTCTCCGCATAACACTGGAACTTGGAAGCATTCCTTTAACCGCAGCTGGTACATTCTCCAAAACTCGTCCTCTGATTTGGGCAGGATTCTCCATCGTTGTCGCGGCCAGGTGCTTCACAGTGGTATTCATTTTTTGCAGAACAACATTTGCTGCATTTCCTACCGTACTACATGTGTGTTCATTTCGTATACATTTGAAAGAACCATCCATAATATTGGTCCATATTCTTCCTTTGTATCTTTCATGCTTGTTTTCGCAGCGCCAGAATTGAATGGTGTTGTCCTTGTTCGTTTTATCCTTCGTGTATAGGTAGCCATCCCATTAGTACTTTTCGTGACCCCTTTGGCTAAGAACTTTATTTTCCATCTTGAGTCTCAGTAAATAAAAAACTCACACAGACAAACAAAATTACACACAATGTCTTTACTTCTGAGATGAATTCGGAATATTAAGGAAAGTGAATATCACCAGTCTTTTATAGGATGTAGGTACAAGTAAGCAGGTAATTATCAGGTAATCTTATTTTTATTTTGTTTTGAAAAATCTTAAGATCTTAAGCAGGCAATTATAAGGTAATCTTATTTTTATTTTGCTTTGAAAAATCTTAAGCCCTTAATATTTATTCGCTTTCTAATACTAGGTATTAAAAACCCTAATTGTAGTTAAGACCCTTAATTGATTTTATTGCCACCTTAATTTTGTAATTCCAAACAACTCTGGCCATTAAATTTTAATTTCTTAATCAAGAAGTTTCTTTTTCAGATTCTTAGTTTTAATATTTAATATATTTTTTCCTGTATATGTTGATTTACTTTAGTAATAATAACTTTTTTCCAGTTTCTTATTTAAAATCTCTTATATATTTTTATTTTATTAATCAAATTCTCCAATCAATTTTTTTTTATAGGTGGTATCTTATTTTGTATTATAATAAATAATTGAATAATATATTATTGTATTCCTTTTCGCCGAGTTTACCATCGCCGACTCGGCATCGCCGAGTTGACCTGG